CTGGCGGCTCTTCTGGAACCACGAATGTGCCGTCTCTCCGCGGCCATCTTGGCCCGCTACCGGCTGAATAGCCTACGCCGTATGAACTACATCGTGGGTCACAGGAAGTAAAGGGTAATGACGTTGCAATTTGCATTTGCAAGGATGTTGTTACACGGAGCCGTCGGTCTAACATAAATGGAAAATTTTAGGGTATAGCCGAAAGTATTTTGATTTGCAATAACGAATTAAAGCCATGTTTGAAACACGGCTGACATTATTTTCCGTAATACAGGTGACTTTCCCCCGCACTACCGGTGATTTGTAATACCACACTGGAAAAACTAATGTTACCATGGTAACGTTTCATCATGTGACCAAGACCGGTAACGTTTTCTGACGCGACCTACCCCATGCAAAAGGTTAGGGCCATCACAAACTGGTTGCATCACCAAACGTTACCTGGTTTGGTCGCGTCAAGAAACGTTACCTCAGTAACGTTAGTTTTTCCAGTGCACTCTACGAAACCGCTTTCTGTCTGTGGCTGGACTCACCTCGACGGCCTTCATCTTCCGAGGGGGCAGTGGCGGGTCGAATATGTCGCGGTGCTTGAGCACGCCGAGTGACACGGTCACCAGCACGATGTCCGCGGTGTGTTTGCCGCCGTGGGAGAGCTCCACCACCACCGGCGGCGCGGGGAGTTCAGAGCGGACACGCTCTCCCCAGCGGATGGCACTCACCTCGCTGTCCAGCAGCACCCGCTGGCGCACCGGCAGCTCCTGGGACGAGTTTGGGAAGCGTTTCTGGCGAGAAATCAGGAAGTCATGAGCTGCGAGTGCGGAATACATTGTGAACAATAGTCTTAAGTTCACGGGAAAATATTCCATGAAGTGAGTGTGTCATAAAATTACAAATTAATCGACTTGGAATAGACCGACGAGCCAGGACGTCTAGTAGAAAACGACCCTTACGGTATCGTTTAAAAAAGGTCAGGTCCCAGGAGTGGAATTCTTTTAACTCTCAGTCTTCTCTATGTATGTGTTGGCTGGCCCTGAGCCTCTTTCTTAGCTATATCAGGCTATCGGATAGGATTTATATGTGAATGCTTTGGAAATTGATTTGATCGTAGATAGTGCTATAGTCAGCCTAACAGCTACTTAAATCTTCTTTAAATTGAACGTTAAGACGGCGAAATTTTGAAGATACAGATTTTTGTTTCCATGTTACAAATATTTGTATCCCGCTTACAGAAATTTGTAATCAGATTACAGAAAGTAAGAGGAATATAAAATTTTGAAATTAATTAATGAAGCAAACAAATTCTGACAAACTAGTAAGATTTTGTATCACCGAGGTGAAGTTGAAGATACAAATTGCTGCATCACAGAGCCCGGATCCAAAAAGTGTTACAAATTTGATACATAAATGTGTTATTTTTCTTAGAGTGAATAAAATGGAGCCATACTGTGAGCAGATCGAACACCGAGATGAAGCCGTCTCGCTTCCAGAAGAGCCCCTCGTTCTCTCCTCGGGACTCCTCGTACTCTGTCATCCCGCGGCCGGACAGCTCGTTCCACGAGTGCGCGCCTTCTTCGAGGCCAACGCCCTTTTGGTACGCGTCCAGGAATGCTTCAACCAGATCAGGCGGTGGGCGGCGATCCAAGCTCTGTAGGCGCTTGTTAAACCTTAAACAAGACAGTAACATTTAAAGCAACACATTAATCTGCTGTGTAGTAGTAGTGGGTAGTAGTTCTACTCCTCAACTCATGATTAGTGGTAACTGCTTGGCTCCACACACCCCTAAAACTGAGTTCCTTGGCCATGAACATTCTACTTCATTCTTAATTTTTCAAGCACTTATCACATAAATCAAGACACATAAGCTTGAAAACACCAAGGATCAAGGAGTAGGTCCAAGAACACTATTATCATTATATTATATCATTATATTCTTTATGACTAAGTAAGCACGGTAAAAATGACGTCCTGGTTTTCATGACGTTTTGTTGAAACCATGACGTCCTATGGAAGAAATGCAAGGGAAACGTCATGGTTTTATTATGAAAACCGGGAGGTTTTTACCGTGAGCCATTTTACCCTGGACTGAGTTTCAGGAGGGGTAAATCCGAGATTCTATCACTAGGTTTCTCATTTCATTAAAGATCCTTGATAGTTGTGACAGTTTGCCCCTACTTACTTTTCTAGGAACCATTCTCCGAACGATCCGTTATAGTTAGCTAGCTCTCCGTGTGCCCCTGCATCATGGATATCAATGGACGTGTTGTAGAGGAGCATGACGTCCTCAATGTCAGCTTCCACACCCCCACTCCACACGACTGACACCTGCAAAATGGTTTGACCTTCATTTTATTTAAATCTTACAAACTACTTTGCATGTCTCCCTACACTGTTCTTTACAAACCAAACCCTTCATTCACAAGAATTGGTTTGGCGTGCACTTCAACCATTTACACTTTTAAATTAACGTGAAAGTTGTTTAGTTTTTAACTGCTTGACAGCAGTTACCGTTTATTGGCAGCAAAAGGTGCCCAGTAACAGCTCTAGGTTTCCAAACACATTATTTATTACATACAATGAAGGATGAAATCTTAAAAATGGGTGAAGTAGGATGGGTGGTACGGCCTCCAAACACACGACGCACTAAATCAGAAGTGGCTTGGCCCTTGATCAACACATCACTGTTACAAAAATTATCGCGATTGGTTAATTTTCTATTACGTAAAAGTCGTTTCTAACAAAATACGGAACAAAGTTATATTACGAATTGCTTTGTAAGATCCGAAGCCTCACTTACAGAGTATAAAATTTCAAACTAAATCTGAAAGGACTTTTATTGCCCATAGAAAGACGCGATTTTAATCCAAGAAGTGACGAATAGGCATCCTTTTTTCTGGATAATTATTTTTTTGTCCATCATAAAGGTGCACATTCTTCACTTGCTTGATTCAAATCTGCATCCGGTTGAGAGCACACAGTTGGAGAGCACAAAAAGGCGTCTTTGTGTGGACAATAAGTCCTTTCAGATTAAATGTGTGTATTTTGTCAAAAATTGTAATTTGAACCGAGAATTCCTCCTCGTAAATCAACACTTGCGAACTATCTCATAACTTTTTTTACTACAGGAAATTAAGCAAACATTTTTCAGTGTATACCTCGTAGTGATGTCCAATGGTCGGTCAACCCCCCACTTCACCTGTCTGCCGTCTCTCTCTCACGCGCTAGCCGGCCGCTAGCTCCGTCCCTCTCGCTCGCCCGATGGGCACCCATCGGCGCCGAGCGACCGACCATTGGACACCACTAATACCTCGGCGTCCGAGTCCGACCAGCGTCGGCCCAGCAGCTGCAGCGGCGCCGCCATTTCATACACGACGTTCTCGCCGTGAACCCACTCGGCACCCATCTCGAGGATGGTGCCTGCTTCGCGGACGGAGTGGATGCGGCCGCCGATGCGGGGTTCGGCCTCCAGGATTGTGAAGTCAGACCAGCCGTGTTCGAGGAGGCGGGCGGCAGCGGCGTACCCGGCTGCCCCGGCGCCGACGATCAGAACTCGGCTGTGATTGGTTGGCGCGCTGCGGAACATTTGTAACTGTCAAATCTATGGGAGATGCGTTATCATTGTAACGCAAACGTTAACTTTGTAAACAGTTCCGTTTAGCTGTCTCGACTCAAAACAAAATTGTTCCTTGCCATTTACTGTGGGCACCTCAAAATAAAAAGTACAAAATAGAGAAAAATGAAACCCAGTGAGCTATGAAATATCAGGCCGATATCGAAACGACGTATCAGACATCAGAAATTTGTCGTTTTTCGCATCAGATTGTTAAAAATGTGGTTCTGAAATCGACTCATTTTAGATATCTGATATCATTCCTACATCGGTCTGACATTTCAATGTTCACATGGAGGCAAAACGGTGCAGGAATAAATGGTGAAATATTCGCAATGAACCCCCGAAATTCCAAATTTTACAACTCCATACTTACCCATCAGCGCTGGGTGGCAGCGCGCCGACAGGAGAGAGCAGTGCCAGAAGAAACAGACAGAGGCCATACTGCATACACTGCTGCTGGGCAGAGAGAGTGTACACGGTACAACATACGATGGCTACAGACAGGACAATAGACAAGGTGTAAAATTGATCACCTATCAGCGGCCAGGAATAATCAGTACTGATACTGTGCTCTCTCCCTAGCCTTTAGAATATATACTTATTAATGCTCTTGTTGAATATACATGTCACTTTGCCACTTCGTACTTTGCTGATGACAGTAATTTGATTGTGTGGGCCAATACTATGGGTTAACTTGAAGTAAACCCGGGAAAACCTTAGAAGATCCATTGAATACTGTAAAAAACTAATCTAAAAGTTCAGACAATACTGTCTGAAGCAAAGTTACATATTTAAGTTTGAAAATTCATTCTAATTATTACTCTGAAATATGATTTTATACATCTTGCCTGAATTAAAAATTCATAGCTCGAAGTCAGAATTTTGAAAAACTGTAGAAAATGATGTAATGTTTCCAGTGGCGTCGGAAGTGGGGTGTGACTGGGTCTCGCCGCCCCCTCCGCCCAAGGTGGGGTGGGGGTGGTGTGGGGAATTTTGTCCCGTTCATAGCATTATCAGGCCCCTGGTCGACGCCTCGCCAGGCGAGACGTAGGCGTCAGCCTGCTCAGCCTGAGGGAGTATGCAGAACTTTTTAAACAACTTCCTTTGGTCAGTAGGAAAATGCTCAGCGAAATGGAAATGTTAGTTTTTCTCTAACTCGTGGTGCCAGCAACTTCGTGCACCAGTGAGTGGTCTTTCAACACTGCGGTACCTCAAAACGTAACCTTAGAAGTACATTTCAACAAGCACGGCTCACCGGATGCTTTTGTACATTCACACTTGATTAGCATTTGAAATTGATCTTAATGATGTTATAAAGGAATTCATAAACAGAACTCTAGAAAGAAGAAACACGTTCGGAATTTAGGCTACTCTTACTGTTATAACAAGACCGTTGAGCCCAAAGGACAGTGTGATTCGACGCCAAATGTGTAGTTAAAGGATTACACTCCGTACAATTTTTCGATTTGAAGCATTTTTTGATTTAATAGACCATTTAGTTATTTTTACCTTGTTTTCGTCCGGGGGGGGGGGGGGGGAATCACCCGCGAAATAGCTCGTACACCTCCCCCTGAATTGGCCGAAATAAAGGCGAAATAGGCGAAATACAGCGAAATACCCCTGAAATACTTTGAAATACGAAATACCCTGATATAACCTGATATGGGCGCGAAATAAATGAAATGGCATGAGAAATACCACGAAACAGATCGTAGGCTACGAACCCAAGTGATTCTCCCCTCGACTGTAGCCTAGATTATCTGTCTTTCGTTTGACGAGAGCGGTTTTTAGTTTCTCATTTCTGAGGTTACGAAAAGGGGGACAAAGCACCCGATTTTTTACTTAAAATCTTTGCACAGCATTCTATTAGTTATTCTTTTTGACGGCTTGAAGTACTCACCTGCGAGCGGCGCGACCTAGGTGGGGCGTTCGGCATTGTGCGAAGTGTCTGCTGCTCTCCACCGGTTTCTGACAAGCTCTGCCGGCTGGGCGGCCCAGGCCACGCACCAGCCTCACTCGTGCTGGACAATTAGAGGTGGTGGTACAGCACGCGCTACGCGCGGCGTCGGAGGATAATTTGATGCCTGCGTCATTTGAAGATGTCCCCCACCCCCCACTCGAGTGGGCGAGTTGAGTTTTGGCGAGTTGGGCGCCGGCAAGTGTACAAACAATGAGTTCGCGAGGAGAGGGGGGGGGGGGGAGGCTTCCCGGCCACTTGGCCTTGGCCTCACCTTGGCGGCAAGTCCGGGGCTTGCCGGGAAGAGCTTTAGCCGGAGAACTCATCAGTGAGTAAGGATCTCTGAGAGACGCTCCGAAAGAATACATGCTGCTGGGCTAGGTCTTTCTCTTTGTGCGTCACACTAAAAAATACAAAGGTAAGACTTATAGTGCCTAAAGGTGCTAAAATTTTGGTACCTTTGCCAAGGTTTCGCAAAATTGTTGCTGTAAAGCAAGAAAATGTAGCATCTTGGGGTCTCGAAAGTGCCTTTCCAGGAGTGATTATCTTTCCTGCCTTTGCAAAGGGACTTCAGGTAACACCAGGAAGGGTGTTGATTCCTGTAATTTTCCTTTCCCATTCCCAGTGCCTGGCCAGGGTGTTCTGTTCAGGAGCCACAGGTAATCGACCTCGACCACCCGGAGGGTTTAGGTCGGTTACAATTATTGTTGAAATAGGTTCACGGAAAAAAAAAGATTCGCTGAGTCAGCTAATATATTGACTGGTATTTGGACAGACAAGCACATAAACTTCTGTAACCACTATATTGTCTACTCTAATCAATCATTGGCTGTACCAGTCAATGATTAGTTGTATGAAATAATGATTTGCCTGCATCAGTAAGGTAGACCTCGACTGATTTAGGGAAGGGATAAGCTCTTACAGCTAATTTTTGACTGGCACAGCCAATGATTGATAAGAGTAGACAATACAGTGGTTACAGAAGTTTATGTGCTTGTCTGTCCAGATACCAGTCAATATATTAGCTGACTCAGAGAATCCTTTTTTTCCGTGTTGCCCCCTCCCCGTCAGCAATTCGACCTGATACAGTGACAACTTTGCTCGAAGCTGTTTGCCACTGGAGTTTGTAAGTCGAAAGGCAAACATTCTTTAACAAGTAATCTAAAGGTCGGGGTGTAACTTTACGCCTTAGTCATTTTAGTCTGTCTGGGCCGCGGCTCCAACTTGCCCTCCAAGCTTCACCGCCCGGCTGGAAGTAGCTGCGTGTTCTCGGGGATGGTACTTAAGCGCGATCGCCGCCTGTTCACTCCGAAACCAACCTTGGCCCAGATTACCTGAGTAATGAACAACACGCACTGGGGTGGGTAAGATCATGTAAAAGCTAGGTCAGGACACTGTTCAAATACACTATTCCGGCGAGAGCACGGAGAAGACTCCATGGAAGAACAAAAGGGCCCGTGATTCGCCGAGCGGCGTCCCCTACCATCTTCCCGTAGTGGAGGGGGACGCCGCTCGGCCAATAGCGATCCCTTTTGTTCTTCCGTGGAGTCTTCTCCGCGCACCCGCCGGAATAGTTATTGTCTGATTCCCTTAATACTTGCTGAAAATGGAGCAATTGTAAAATCCCATTACACTTACTCATAGTCAAGAATAGTGCGTATTCGTTTATCTTGTTTAAAAAAAGTTGCAGACGCCGTCTGAAGTTAATTAAGTTTCCAGAACAAAGAACGGCAAGTGGTGATTTTCCGATTTAAAAATTCACGAAGAGTTCAGGTAACTTCTTTCACAGCAGACTTCGTAAAGTTTTGGAAAAAATAACGCGTCTAAAACAAACAGCCCGATGTCCCACAGGTCTAAAACAAAGAGGCCGACTCGCTCAGCTTCTTGGGTAAGTTCGATCTCCGGAGCGGCGCGCAAATTGGACATCCACCCATATCTGTACATTACACTGCGGGCTCTCTTTAAAAGCAGGGAGGATATCGGAGTGTTTGTTTTAGAAGCAAGAGACAGGCCTATATTCTCAAACTACAATAGTAACGGAACGATTTTATTTCTAAAAGGGAAACGTTTTCGTGCACATCCAGATCAGATGCAATATTGTTCCTAAATTTGGACAAATTATATGTAAAACTTTACATGACTTTTCTAGTTTCAAAAATAAAATAGCATTCGAGGTGCGCAGTCCAAATTTTCAGGCATTGACCATGTAATTCAAACTTTCGAACTATGTTGTAAATTTATGACAGCCTATCTTGGTGAATTCCAATTCAATTTTGAATTGCAATTTTACGGCTCACTTTCCGTGAAAGCCACGACTATTTTAACAGTGCCATTAACGTAAATTAACGAAAAAACAGAGTTATTTTCCGTTTCTCCTTAGCATTAACAGAAGAGAGTAGATAGCACAAGCTGATCAAAGCAGAGGTTAAAACGCATATAATACTGGTTAAGCATTTTCTTTCTGGATGACTTAAAACCTTCGGGCACCCACTAAAATCTGATGAATATTTTTATTCAGACACTGAAAAGGACTAGTAACTGGTACCAGACGAATCCTAGTTAAATGGCTGCTAGTTTTAACAAGTAGGGTACGCTTTACTAGAAGTTTACTATGGTTTACTAACACAGGTAGATTAACAGGTACCAGACGTCTATTAACTGAGTCTGATCAGTTTTACTGTACTGTATGGTAGTTTTTACCAGACTACACGTTTACTAGGCTATGCTTGTGGTCCGGTGGCATCATATTTGTTGCGCACGCCCCTCTTATGGTAGTCACCGTAGTCACCGTAGTCACCGTAGTCACCGTAGTCGAGTGGTCTAGGGCGCGGACTTCCAAGGCTAAGGTCCACGGTCCGAAACTCGGTAAAGGGAACGAAATTTCGCTATAGCGAGGACCCGAGGACCCGTTGTAACCGTAGTAAGGGACAGACAATTTCTATAGTGCATCCGTACTCATTTCAAACACGTTTTAGAAGAAAATGTGTGGTACTTGTAACTAAGCAGTCTGGTAAGCGGTACTAGGAATCGTGAAAATGCGTAGTATCTGTAACTAGACATCTGGTAAATTGTACTAGAATTTGGGTTACTAGCCCGTCTCGTATCTTTTACTAGATCCTATTAACTGCTTTCTTTTTTCAGTGTAGCTCACTGACATCTGTAAGCATGCTCCACTTACATATTATCTTTAAATACGCCTGTACAAACAAATTTGTTTATTCTGGCGTTTAAAAAAATGCTTCAGCCGAGGGATAAATCACTTGCGAAATAGTTCGTACACCTTCCCCCGAAATAGTCCAAAATAAAGGCGAAATAGAGCGAAATAAAGACGAAATAGTCGGTGAAATGGTCGCGAAATACCCCTGAAATACTCCGAAATAGGCGAGAAATAGCCGAAATGGCAGGAGAAATAACCGAAATGGCAGGAGAAATAACCGAAATGGCAGGAGAAATAACCGAAATGGCAGGAGAAATAACCGAAATGGCAGACGAAATAACCGAAATGGCAGGAGAAATAACCGAAATGGCAGAAGAAGTACCATGAAATAGTCCGTACGCTACGAACCCTAGTGATTTCCCCCTCGGCTTCAGCCTAGTTTACAGAACGC